TCCGCCGGAGCCCTTGAGTGGAGTGCACAGTGGTGCCGGCGGTGGGTGCAGAGGACGCCGCCGCCGCCGCCGCGGCCGCCCACATCACTCTTTGGGGCTGCGTGACCGTAGGTGAAGAAGAGTACGCGGGGGGGTCGGAGAGAGCCTCAGGGTGGCAGAACTGAGATTTTGCCAAACACTTTGCGTAGGACGGAGGCTGAGGAGGCGGGCGGTGCAGAGGGAGGGACGCAGCGGCAGGAGAGCAGTGTTTCACATGGACGTGTGCGCAGTCTGAAGTCACAGGAAGGCTGGAGCCGCGCTGAGACGCCTGGACATCTGGCTGCGCTCTGCCGGTTCCAACCGCTGTCTGTTGCTCCTCAGACGGCGCTCGTCCAGCAGGTTGTCTCTCCGAGGCCTTGATGTCTGGGTCACTGCTGACTGTCACTGCGGCGAGCGATGACTCTGAGCTACTGACGTCCTCCTTGGCCACCGACACAGCTATTCAAAGGACGAAAGAAGCCAGAGCGCCTTTATCATCAGCGGGCCATTCCTCGCCTCTGACACACATTTGTTTTTCCCCAACCAGTGCTAATCACTGAACGTTGACCTCCTCCTCACCCCAGATGACTCACATCTTTCTTTTTTTTTTTTTTTACTGCAAATCTCACAATTCCTGTTTACTGTGCCTCAGCGATAGAATATCAAACATTAACCAGACCTACAGTAACAAGACGACCAGGGGGGAAAGAATGGAAGGAACTCACTTTTGGAATTCTCAAAGTTGCCAGAATCTCCCGAGGCATTTACTTCACAAACGTCTTTCTTAACACTCCTGACTTTTGTTCCGATGAAGAGGTTGGCCGATTTATTTTTCTGTGTGTAGAATGTCAGCACTTCCTCCAGCTCACTTTCACTGTTAATGAAAACAGGGGATGAATGTGCATGGCAGACAGGGATCATTCCACACTCGGCAGCATGTGCATATGTGCAGCGGTGAGGAGCCAGGTCTGGAACAATAGTCCGCGACCCTGCCAATGGACTGACCTTGCTGCAGTGATATACTCCTGAAATACACTGGGATCAATGCTCTGCTCCTCTGCTCTGCTGTTCTCCGGCCTTTTCACCATTTCTTCAGTTTCCTGCAGGAGTTAAGGACAAATTAAACAGCAGTTATTCCCAGTTTCTGCACAGTGTCTGTGGTGTGTGCAACCATTACAGAAAAAAAAATCAGTGTGTTGGAGTTGGTACCCTGTTGTAAGAGTGAATAAACTCCCCCAGCTGGTGGGAGAGGATGCGTCTGCGGTCTTGGAGAGGTAACTGTCGACTGGGCAGCACCATTTTAATGTCTTGTTGAAGGTTACTGGCTGCTTTTTTCAGGAAGCGAATCACGAGCTCCTGCTCAGACAAAAACACACACAAATAGCTTTAACTGGTCCGACATTAACTTAGAGTCTGAAGTTCCTAAAACTTTTATACTTTGGTTAAATATTGCACATCAACATTCCTGTCCAAACAAAAACAAAAAACACACTCTACAGGTTTTATCCAACAAGATTTTAAAGTAGTCTTAGAAATATGAAGTCCACATAGATGAAGTGTTAAAAAAAAGTCTTAAAATAAAGTTAAGAACAAAGTAGAGAAAAAACAGATGTAGAAACAAAATGCAAGATTCTGAGAATACAGTTTTCAGAATAAAAGCTTTGTTGCTGTGTTTTTAACAATATGTCCTAATATAGAGGGATAAATCAGTCATCATCAACTGGCACGGGGAATACGGCCACGACCGGATACCAAGATAAACATCAAATAATAATTTTAGAAAAAAATGTGATTTTTATATTATTTTTATTTGAATCTCCAGTCCCTTAGGTGTCTGTCCAAAAAAAATATTTTCGCCCTCCAACAAATATCCAATGGTCCAAAAAACAGGAAAGATTGATAGGGGTCTTTCAGCAAATTCTATTCCACAATGTTTCGATTCGATGTTCAGAGAATAAATCAGCTCAGCTGTGACACCAGTAATAAAGAACACGGAGATGATCCATTAGATTATCTTTTTGGCCTACACGTGTTTAAAGGATAGTGTTCCTCCTAATTCCTAGAAAACCTATGAACTTCTAATACATTGTTTACTAAAGACTGGGTCGCAGGCCCTCAGGTGGGTCGCAAGAGATTTTTTTTTTGGGTCTTCTCGCATCATGTTTCCCAGGAGTTTACAAATAATGTCTGTTGACTTGGGTCGTGAAGGTTTGTGACTTTTAAAATATGGGTCCTCCGAAAAAAAGTTTGGGAAACACTGGTCTAATACCAGGAGTCATTGTTCTAAATATACAACTTATTAATTGGATGGATGAATGGATGGATGTATGGATGGATGGATGAATGGATGAATGGATGGATGGATGGATGGATGGATGAATGGATGAATGGATGAATGGATGGATGGATGGATGGATGGATGAATGAATAGATAGATGGATGGATGGATGGATGGATGGATAGATAGATGGATGGATGGATGGATGGATGGATGAATGAATAGATAGATGGATGGATGGATGGATGTATAGATGGATGGATGGATGGATGGATGGATAGATAGATGGATGGATGGATAGATGGATGGATGGATGATAGATAGATGGATGGACGGATGGATGGATGGATAGATGGATGGATGGATGATAGATAGATGGATGGAAGGATGGATGGATGGATAGATGGATGGATGAATGGATGGATAGACAGACATACAGACAGACAGACAGACAGACAGACAGACATACAGACAGACAGACAGACATACAGACAGACAGACAGACAGTGAAAGCGATGGTGTGTTGATAAAACAGTAAGAACTGCTGATACCATGTGGTCGTGGTCCTTCTCTGGCCAGGCTGCTACACTGGTGGCTCTGCTCTCGGTCAACAGTCTTTGCTGGACCCTCTGCAGGTACGAAGAAAACGCCATCCTGGCCTGCACCTTGCTGCAGACGACACAGCAGAAGATGATCACTTTCATCACACAGTATCACCTTCAGTCAGTGCTTGTTGAAACACCACCTTCCCCTGTCCTGAGGTGTCATGGAACCATGATGAACTGTCCTTAAAAACTCAGGTGAACCTGAAAGTTAACTGTCAGAAGATCCTACAAAGAAAAACAAGAGGAAAATAGTCTGGAACAGAGTAGCTGTCAAAGACAAAGACTGATAGGCTGTACTATAATTTCCTTGCTTCATACACAGTCTTGGCAGACGCCACGGAATTTCTGCAAACTCAGACTTGTTATTGTAATTCCTACTCAAATTATAATTTCAGGCACACTTTTACAATTGACATGAGATGGCAGCCTTTGTTGCATGTGAGTACTTCAGTGTACGTACACACACAGCGTTCTGTACACACTGTGGCTTCTCTCACTCTAATTAAAGGGAAGGTTTGTTTTCTGTTGAAAAGAATTATTTACTTTCTCAGACCGTGTTGTTCCTTTAAACATTAGTTAATACAGCGCTGTGAAGCAGTTTACCAAAAACACCACGCCACATTTGTTTAGAGGTGGATGGTTTCTCAAACAGTGGCCACCGACTCTAAACATGGTCACATTACTGTAATTACAGAGCCGTTGCACTGAACTGTCATTTTTACAGGTTTTTTTTTCAGACCTTAAGCAAGACATTGTTTATACAGCCTGAATGTCGCTAACATTCAACATCGCGTAAGTAAAATTTGGAATCGCAACTTGCGCGGAATATGCCTAAATAATGTGTAAAATCATATAAACAATAGAAATGGAAAAATATGCCCTGTGTTCATCAGGTGGATTGATACTGTCAGTTATTTCAAGATTATTTTTCACTGTTATGCAAGTGTTATATGCTTAAAAGAATTACCCAGTAGGTGGCAGTAATGAGTAGAAGCACTAACGAGTGGGAATTATCGACAAGAAAAGGCAAGATAGTGGATCACATTTTGTTGTTAGAACATTTCATAAATATATATGTATATATGCATGCATTTGCATTTATGCATATATATGTGTAAATATATAAATTAATTTAAATATGTACGTGTATATGTTTACATGCAAATATGTTAAATATATTTATATACTGTATATATTTTTGATTTGTTTTTAAATATATATGTATATATGTGCATATATAAATACATATATAAATATATATATAAAAAGCAACATAATGTTCACCTTAAAGCATAGATTTCAGGGTTGATCATTAATAAATGGTTTGATATATCGGACATTCATGAACACAACCTGATCAGGGAACCTTTTTTTTTTCCCCCTTCTTTCGCTGATTAATTCAGAATTTATTCCCGGCAGGGAGAGAAAAATGGGGGGAATAATAAAAGAAGAAAAAATAAAAAGAGGGGGCTGAGATGATGAAACCTGAGCGTCAGCCCAGAACACAGTCTGACCTGAGGTCCCAGCCCTGCTGAAGGATGTTGAGCAGGTCGACTCTGGGCCTGGCATTGTGCGCGGCTGCCTGTGAGCTGGACGCCGTCTCAGTCTGGCCGCGCTCCAGTGGTGTGGCCACTTGTTTTATTTGCTCCGCTACCAAAGCCTTGTGTGAGACTGGCATGAGGAGTCGTTTCCCCTCCTCTTTTTCCTCCCGAGCGCTCTCCTCTCCCTCCGGACCGCTCTCAGTCGGGGAGGCCTTGGATCCCTTCCCTGAGGTATGCAGCACTGAAAGGAAAGACGAATGTCAGTTGCATCGCTGGCATTTTGGATCAGACGCGTATCCACTCAAAAATAGGCCTTTTATTGTTGCTGCAGTGGAATGAACTCATTCAGAGTCATATTTGGCCAACCTCACCATGACACAGGGGAGTTATTTATTGGAAACAAAAGTGTATTAGCGTGTCATGTTATCCCACTTAGCTGCGCTCATCTCACAGTTTCAGAAAAACAGCAGTTTCCTAAAACGAAGCAGAACACATCAGACCTACCCGACTTCTTCTCCTTCGCCGCGGCTGAGCGAAGAGTCAGGTGGCGCTGTCTCCTCTTACGTGCCTCCAGAGACAGCAGCTTCCTCTCGTACTGGACGACGTGACAGCGATGGACGCCGTCCACCTGCAGCTGCACATTCCCGTTCACATGCCTGAGAGACAGAACAAGAAAAGTCAAACAAAGGCAATAAAATTTCACACATATCCCAACTTTGACGAACGCTCTTTTTTTATTTTTTTTTTATTCAAACTGCAGCCGCTTCTGAGAAGAATTAGCTGTGGTTAAGTAGTTTACTCAGAGCTTGGCGTGAGCGGCGCCGCAGTGATGGTCCAAAGGAGAGAGGAAAGGAGGGCAAATAAGAGAGTGAAGTCCCCGCAGCAACAAATGTCTCTTTAAACTGGCTCCCTAACAAAGATGGAAAAATCATACGGGGGCTCAGTTGGGGCGGGGCGAGAACACGAAGGACCACTGTGGTTCCAAAGACCTAGACGAGGAGTCACCGACTATATCTGTCGGAGGGACAGAAATGTCGGGGTCTCAGTTGTTTTTTCTTTTCTCACTGGCTTTAGTTGTGGGGATCATATGATATTTCCTCTTTGATCCTCCAAATTTTGGAATCCAGTCATGGCCCGGATTAGACGCTTTGGCGGGCCATATACAGCCCGCAGGCCGCCAGACATTGATGAATATTTAAAAAAAAAAAAAAAAGGTTCAGTTAAATATATTTAACCCTCCTGCCCCCACACTGACACCACAGTTTTATAAACACATGCTTCACAGGCCTCAACCTAACTAGGTTATGTCAAGTGGGCAAATGTATTTATACTTAATGAAATTTTGTAATGTAATTTTACAAAAATTATCCAAAAAATGACATGTTTTTTTTTTTCAGAATTCATCAAGTGGGCCGCATTAAACACCCTAGCGAGCCAGTTTTGGCCCGCGGGCCGCATATTTGACAGCCCTGGTTTAGAGGATGGAAAAATGACCCGGCCTCATCAGCTCAGCTGTTGTCCTCACCTATTCGAGCAGAAGACCAAACACACAGTGGAACCCGACCGCTTCCACAGACCGACAGAGAGATTTATTTCACAATCTTGACCACAGTGGAAACGCTTACCTTCCATGGAAAAGTCGGTTGGCCAACATGTGGTTCATGGACGTCTTGGACTCCAGATATCCACTGAGAGGAGAAGATAATACAAACATTACGGTAATCATAAAGTCAATGCCCACTCCCCCGCCCCCCCCTCTGGTGAGCCTTGACCATCGACTCCTGCACAGAGCTACTATTCAACACAGTCATTTCCCAGACTCCTCGATAATACGCCACAAAATCCCGGCTGTGTTCCAGGCCACGGATCCAATCAGGCAACAAATCCTCATATAGGAACATGAAAAGTAAGCACAAAGTAAAAAAAAAAAATGGATTTCCTGCCTTAACGTCAACAATTAGTCAGCGCAGGACGTTAGCTCTTCTGGGAACACTTCGACAAGAGCGTTAAGAAGAAGCCACCGACTCTAACTCACTGATTACAATTTAGCCCAAATGTCACCTTTAATTTGAGAAGACCATCAGCACAGGAGGACATTACAAATCACCGGCTCTTTTTTCCGGTGACCTCAGTGCTCCTCGTTGGCGCCGCTCACCTATAGAGCTCCCACGTTTCTGCGGTGGGAAAGATCCTGATGAAGCCTCCGCGTCTCTCATACTCCTCCTTTATCCTCCTCAGCACTTTGACCTGTGTTTGGAGGGAGAACATGGCACAAAGACTCAGAGTTATTTAAGACACACAGCACAGGTTGATCCTGACCATCCTCTTCACAATTAACCTGACCAGGGGTGTTAAACTCATTTTGGTTCAGGGGGTCACATACAGTCTGATTAGAAGCCAAGTGGGTCGGACCAATCATAACACAATCGCATTCCTCCTTTGTTTTCATAAAAATATTGATATTTAATTACGTGTCATTTGAAAAAAACTTCATGATCATTTAGTGTTTGTGCATTTTTTTACTTTCAAAATTCATCAAGCGGGCCAGATTGAACCCCCTAGTGGGCAGATTTTTGGTCCATGGGCCTTATGTTTGACACCTGCTATGGCACCTAGGTCAGTGGTTCCCAACCTTTTTTGGCTTATGACCCCATTTTGACATCATATTTATTTTTCTGTCTTGTGCAGTCACATGATCACAGCTGCCAATCAATATGCGTCAACTAAGATATGTTCATACACCGCATCTTTTTCAAACTGGATTTATATTCATGAAAGTGAAAGAATACAAATAATCATATTTAGTTGAAACTTTTTTTAAATCAATTACTAGACATTTTAAGCAACTTGACCCAACATATGGTTGTGACCACAAGTTTGAAAAACACTGACCTGGGATCAAACCAGTGATTTTCTAGCTGTAAGGCAAGAACAACAACCACCTAACTGACTCTCACTTCTTGGTGAAATGATTTTCAGTTCAGGCTACAATTAGCTTTAGCTTATTATTACCCTTAGGGAAAGCAATAGACCCAGATGGACATTTAACATAATTACTAACATCTAGAACGTTCACTGTCTAATTCTGTTCAGATCATGTGCGGGTTCTACGCCAAATCTAATGAGTCTTTTTTTCCTTTAATATTTCACGGGAACTCAGAGGATTGTCTGTAGAGGTCACAGTGACCTTGACATTAGCACCGATGTGTCATCAGCTCCAACAGAACACTCGGCTGTTACAGAAGTCATAAAATATAAAGGATATTTCCAGAAGTGAACATTTTCATCTTCATTTAGAAAAAAAAAACAAAAACTCACCTCCTCAGCAGTCAGGCTCAAAGTGCTGTCCCCCTGACCTGGTCTGGCTGCGGGCTTCTCCTTTGACCCCTGTGTTTCTGGGTGACTGGCTGACGTGGCCTTCTGTTGCTACAGGACACGAGAGTAGAGTTTGTGTTTATGTTCAAAAGAGTGACTGAAAAATACTGCCGCACTTTCACTTTTATGTCACTTTAAGGCAGGGGTGTCGAACTCATTTTCACCGGGGGCCACATCAGCATACAGTTCCACTTGAACCCGTTGTAACTGGAAGACTGTATAGATTAGGGGTCCCCAACGCCCGGACCGCGGACCAGTACCGGTCCATTGGTCATTTGGTACCAGGCTGCAGTGGGACATAGTTAAAAAATGTGCTTAATTTTTACTAATTTACTTCATTTAAAGAAAGTCCAGTTGTCAAGCTGTAATATAGGTTAAGCTCCCGCGGGCCACACAAAACGGCTTGGTGGGCCGCATTTGGCCCCCGGGCCTTGAGTTTGACACGTATGCTTTAAGGCATTGGTTCCCAAAGTAGGGGATGGACCCCCTTATGGGGTGCAAAGCTTTTTCATCGGGGGACATAAAGGCAAATATTTTTTATTTTTACTTCACTGTTTGATACATTTATTTTGTTCTAATAACAGGGGGACAAATAGTTTCTGCAGTAGTCGTACCTGTCGAAAAGAGAAGGGGGCAAAAAAAAAAAAAAAAGGAGTTTAGGGAACCACTGCATTAAAGGAACATTTTGTTTTCTCGAAAAAAAAAAAATTAAAGGAACATTTTGTTTTCTTGAACATCCCTGACATCCAGACTGGAACCTGGTCCAGACGTGGAGGCGCAAACCCAAGGGATCATATACAGAATTTGTCATCCAAAGAGCAGGAGGATTAGATTTAATTTGTCCAACTGGAGCCAAAGAGTGACAAGACATAATCCTAGTAAAAAAATAAATTTAAAAAGTTTGCCCCTGATCAAAGTGAAAGGAGAGGAGAAGTTCACTGTGGACACATGGAGTTCTTCAACCATCTCTGTGACAGCACTGGCTTAGAGCTGAGCTTGTTTTTAGGTAACAAAGCTTCTAACTCTGGCGTCAAGGGGTTCACGTTTCAATCTGAAACAGTTGCCTACCAAAGCCACTTAGCTAATGTCATTCCAATCAGACTGAAATACAGCATTAGGGATCAATATGCCATCTGCGCGCCACCGGGACAGACGCGGTGCCAGACAATCAAATCAGCCGAGAGCAAAAGGCAATTTCTTACTCGTAATGAATATGGCATCAAGGATTTGCAAGACAAGAAGATTAATGAGAGAGAGAGAGAGTCAAGAGTCCGGAGGAAACTCACCCCTCTGCTGTGTGCAGCAGCTGTCCACGCAGGAAGAGGTTTCTGAAGGAGCAGTGGGTGAAGGCAGTGAGTAACGGACAAGCCTGAGCACTTAACCTTTGTTAACCTTTGAGAGGCTACTGTACAGAGTGACAACACGCACGCTCCAGCTGCGTGCAACAATAGCACATTGTTAGGCCGTGACTAAACAGGCTCTTTTACACAATCTAAGGTGGAGCAGAAATCTGTCTGATTTGGTAATCGCTCCGTTCCAGACCCTGCGCCGCATCTGGCTGCAGGGAGGAAGACGAGGGCCGTGGATGTTGTGGCATCATCTGACAACAGGGCCCTGGATCGAGCTTAGGTCACATGATTAGGAAGGATAAAACAACAACTGATGTCACTCAAACACGGTGATGATACCGAGGCTTGTTTTGAATTACAGGGAATTTTCCATGAGGCTGAAAAGTAGAAACTAACTCTGTGTGTGTGTGTGTGTGTGTGTGTGTGTGTTATGTTGTGGGGACAACACTCTGTTGCATGTTAGAGTAGGTATAATATTTTTAAACAGGCTTTTTGTTTTTGCTATTTCAGTTTGAGATCTGATCTAATATGGTGTAAATCCATGTCTTGATGGAAAAACATTGACCCGTAGCCTAATTCTAAGCCATCCTTTCTGCAGTTATGTGTTTAATATATGTGACATATGTACATACACATATATGTACATATATGTATATGTACATATGTGTATATATAGACATATATGTACATATTAACCATCCTTTTGCTGTCATTTGTTTATATATGTACGTATATACATTTGAATGTGCATTTGTACATATACTGTATGTACATAGGCTATAAGAACGCTATATATGTATATAAACATATATACAGACACATACATATATATGCATATACAGCACGTGTATATTTATACATTTTACACACAGAGCGCATATAAAAGAATACAAATTCATATATATTTATATATACTGTATATAAAAGTGTTTTCTATTTTATTTCAATGTTTTAGCTCTTTTGCTAACACTTATTAGCCACTCGTTTTTGCCTGAAACTTTGAACGTTTCCCAGCCAACTTGGACCTGTGGATCTTTAACTTTGAACGTTTCCCAGCCAACTTGGACCTATGGATGGCTCTAACCTCACTTAGCAAAAACTATTTGTCTAAATCTTAGCTTCGGTGTGTCGTCCCAGTACCTGTGTTCTAGCTGCTGCCGAGTGTTTGAGGCCGGAGTCCTGAGTGACCCGGTCAGAGCGAGGCTGCTTTGACAGTGGGTCCTGACACACAAACCCTGCACAGACACAGAAAAAAAAATTGAAATGTATCAACACCAAAAGACCAAATTTATGCATCATTTTCAAAACAATAGCTCCCAAAGTAAGGGGTAGGGGCCCCTTTGGGGGTCACAGAGTTTGTTCACAAGTACGTAGAAATTATATTGATACATTTTTTAAAATGATTATTCATTCTAGAACGGGGAAAAAATCACTGCTTTGTAATTTTATTTCCAGTTTTGGGAGAATAGGAATAAGAAATAAATTCTCAAATAAATTGTTAGGAATGAAGTCACTGGAGTTTTGAAGCTAAAGCTGTGTATATGTTGACGTGTGTGAGGGGGTGATGTTAGTCCTATCTACAAACAGGTGGCGCTGCAGAAAAAGTTTGGGATGCACTGTCCTAAAAAGAATAATTCAGCCTCAATATAACGACTTCAAAAAGGCACAAGTTCGCATTTGATATATAACAGAAAATGAAAGAAATCTCACTTTTACAAACTTAAGTTAAACTCGTGTAACGACTTTAGTTTAACATCAGCCACAGCGTGTTGCCCTGTGTATGACACTTTCTATATCAATAAAACCTGACTTGATTGGACTTGAAGTGGACCAATGACTTGGTTCCCTGCTGGAAGGAACGCTCCAACATTCTGACTGAGTCACTTCACTGCTGAGAGTTGGCAGCCGCTCCACATCACTCTGACTTTTACATGTACGACTGCAGCGGCGTAGCTTAGCATCAGGAGTGGAAAAAGCTGAAAAGAGTTAAGCTAACCTGGCTAACCTGGCTAACCTGGCTAACCTGGCTCAGTAAAACAGTGGAAATGATTGCACATACAGTGGAGTAGTGTCACAGGAAATAGTACATGGTAAAGGAGAATAGGTCAGGCTAGGCCGGTACTTCTCAAATAGTGGGGCGGGCCCCCCTGGGGGGGGCGCAGTGAGGTGCAAGGGAGGGTGTGAGGGGCTTCCAATGGAAGCTGTAATGCTTGAATAATAACAAGCCTCCAGTCACTAGGTGGCAGCACCTCATACAGTGGTTTGTACAGATAAAAATATACATGTTATCAGGTTCTAAGTTGTATTTAAATTTGCAGGGTTGTGGGTCGGGGGGGCGTGAAAACATTCAATCCTCAAGGGGAGGGGCTTATCTGTTAAAACGACTCAGAGTAACTGTTCTCTGGGCTGGAGGCTACGCTAACTTTGAAAGTCTTTTTGACAAAGTTAATGAGTCAAATGTGTCAGAGATACTTTACACTGATCGTTGTATTGTGCAGTCGTACTTTGTGGAAGAGGTTTTTTCTGACAGCCGGGAGCCGACGGCTGTTTGTTCTCTTTTATCCGAGCAGTTAGAGCAGGTTAGAACCGTGCTCCTGCCCCGACGCGGCAATTACCACCAACATGGGTGACACAGACCTGACAGCGGTGCACAGGCAGGGGAAGAAATGCTAATGGAATGTTGTCATTATTCAGCGCACTGGGCTGCGACCCAAGTGTTATCAGCCAACGGCGACATAGTTTATTTGGTACATAATAGGCGTACCGTGTTCAACACGCCACTGCTTATTTTCCCCAGGCCCTCGGAAACGTCTCTGTCCAAAGATAACTGGCAATTTATGATTCTGCTCATTCATTATCTGAGCTGGAGGGGGGAGGAGAGGGAGGCGAGGAGGGGGAGGCGAGGAGGGGGAGAGGGAGGTGAGGGGGAGGGTGAGGGTGAAGCCTAAGCGTGGCCTCTGACTGTGGCAAAACAAATGTGGGCATGAGCACATACACAGTCGTAATCGCTCGTGTCTTTAATATCATCAGTCTGGGCCCAGAGATACATGGTAACAATGTACCATGTGGCCAAATATGACATTTGATCCACTTCTTATAGCGCCACCAACTGGTCACAAGGCTCAGAATTTCAAACAAGAAATACTATTCGCCAGGAAACACCTGTAGGGATGTAGCTATACATTTAACTCACGATATGATACGATACATCACTAATCATGTAAGACAGGGGTCACCAACCCTTGGTCCGGGGACCGCTGCCGGTCCGTAAGTCCTTTGGTGCTGGGCCGCACAGTGAAAAAATGTACATCTCAGTTTGACTAAATTACTTTTAATTTCTTTTTCATTCAAAGATATTCTGTCAATGTTTCAAAATGAAAGGTCATTCAGACAGAAGAAAGTTTAAAAGATGTTTTATTTTGAAAATATACTGATCCTTCAACGATGGAAGGTATCACTGTAACCACACAGTAACGGCTGATACCAGGTGACAGGTCCTTGGTACAAAAAAGGTTAAGGACCGCTGGTCTAAGACTATGTATATTTGGTGAACTTCTGCTGAATCACATGTAGGTTAATGTAGGATCAATTGTTTTGATTGGACTAGACCAGGGTGTCAAACTCTAATTCACAGTGGGCCACAATTAAAAACTGGGAGGAAGATGCGGGCCAAACTTAATATTTATTGAAAAATTTGATGCCAATTGTTCATGTTTTCCCTTCTCTCCAGATACTGGCGGGCCGACTCTAGTACACATTTGATATGGTTATGCGGGCCAAATATAATTACACCGCGGGCCAGATTTGGGCCCCGAGCCAGGATTTGGCACATGTGGGCTAGATCATTGTTTCCCAAAGACTGGGTTGCGATCCTCAGGTGGGTCACAAGAGATTTTTTTTTTGGGTCGTCTCGCATCATGTTTCCCAGGAGTTTACAAATAATGTCTATTGACTTTGGTCACGAAGGTTTGGTTTTTTAAATCTTCAAATCTGATCTGGATAATATTCTGAAGATCAGGATCCACAGTAGGCCACACCTGAAAGCTACTCACGGGTAGAACCTACAGGTCAGTGAGTAGAACAGTGAGTTTTTCTTTAAGAAATCACCGATCCTCATGGTGAGAGTAAAAACCCATAATCTGTCATAATCTGTCATAATCCAGTGTACAGTAGACGTCTTGTCTCTAATTACTGTCCATCACCAGTTTAACAATAACATTTATTATGAAGGAGATGAAGAAGATTAATCATCTTTGTCACAGTCTGTGTACGTATACAGACGGGTATAAACAGATCAGAATGTGTGCTTTGCATTTATCATTTCCCTGGGGAACAGCGAGCACTTCAAGCAGCACCTGTGGAGTCAGGGAATTTGGGCTGTTTGCAAAACACAGCACAGTCAGGGAGGGATTTAAACCGACAACAGGCCTCATCCAGGACACAGTGGTTGCATGTAGAGTTTCTCCAGCACATGACAATGCAATAATTAAAAAAAGGGAAGAGGCCAAAGGTAGACGTGCCGCGCTGCCAAGTCTGTTCTCTCTGAGAGTCATCCCAGCCTCGGGGAAGACTTTTTTTTTTTTTTCTGCCTTCTCTGACATGCAGGGTCCAGTTTCTTCAAACGAGCGTGATGACGGCAGAGCAACAAAAACCCTCTGTTGACAATTTTGTCTGCACGTCATTTAAAAATTTAATTAACAGAGACTGTGGTTCATTCTCTCAACACCGCAGCTCCCATTATGAGACCATACACCTCTTTTTGGCACTTTGTTCAAACTCAACAAGTGGAATGTGGGAAAACATTAGGCGTTTAACAATAGACAACTGTCTCCGTCTGTATGGAAAGAAGGAAAACCACTTTGAGGAGTGTGATGAAAATATACTGTCATTTACATTCACATTTTATGAGTACAACGTGTATTTTTATTGTACTTCATATTGTCTTTGATTTGCTCTCTTTTTACGTTTTATCCAGAGAATTTTAAACTTTTTTGATATCTGGGAATCATTGATTCGCTCGATATTTTTATAGCATTTGTGCTGCAGTGTTTGGTGCTGCTTGGCTGGCTGAAACGCAGCCCCAAACCATTACAGAGCCTCTCTATTTCTTAACTAAGTGGTTGAAACTTTATTTTTTTAAATTTGGATAAAATAGCCACCAGACCTCGTCATTACACGTTAAGAGGTTACAAACTTTAGATTTTTGTTTGTGGAGGCTGAAACGCAGCCCCAAACCATTACAGAGCCTCTCTATTTCTTAACTAAGTGGTTGAAACTTTATTTTTAAAATTTGGATAAAATAGTCACCAGACCTCGTTATTACACGTTAACAGGTTACAAACTTTAGATTTTTCTTTGTCGACCTTGGATGTAATTTTTCAACTTATTTTTTTTGGTTCAGTACAGTTTAGAAAACAATAAAGGAAGTTGTTAATAAATGAACAGAGAAGCTAAATGTGTTTTTTTGTTGTTGTTTTTTTGCATCATCTTCTCTACTGTTCTTAAATACTCCATTCACTGTAATCCAGTGATTATCAACTGGTGGCCCGAGGGCTGACTCCGGCCCACCAAATCTGACCCCAGAATTGACTTCATTCCTTAATATTAAAGCAGCTGAAAAAAACAACAAATTTATAATAAATATTATAACTAATAATCACCAGCATTTATAATTTATAATTATTCAAGAAAATTTGATTTTTATTTAATCTTATTTCAGTGTCCGATCCTCAAGGTGTCTGTCCAGAAAGATTCTGGCCCTTGGTCAAATATAGTAGGAGACCCCTGGTCTATAGTTGTTTACATTTGAGTTTACAGTGTCTTACAACATTCTATATAAATAATAAAACCTATAAAATCCTCTTCATACGTTCTCTGCAGGCTCTTCCCGTTACAGTCGGTTGATTCTTTTCCTTTTATGTTTCTTTTATGAGGTTTAATGTGCTTCATTTACCAAATCTGTTTCTATTTCACGGTAATTGTGTAACGCTCCATAAATACACAATGTTCCTCACGTATCATCGTGGATGCACTTTGTTTTTGCCAGCATTTCATTTGTGAAAGAAAAAAAAAACACGCTGGCTGTAGGCACCAGCCTCATGCAAATCACATGGCTTTGAAATGCCATCCCTGTCCAACCAAAGGGAAGCTGTATTAGGTTATTGTTTAAGCACGCACTCACCCACAAGCGAAAACATGTCTGCAATCATGCTGGCCTTTATCTTCAGATCCAAGGGTGTATCACTGTAAATAAGGGCACGTCAAAAATTAAACAAAGATCTAAACACAAAAAAATTACAAACTCACACACACATGCACTGCGTGAAACCAAAAAAAAAAAGCGGCCAACCCTTGTAAGGGGATACACTTTTTATTTTATAAACCGCTCATTCTTCTGTAGATGAAACAACATTTTTGGCGAAACCCTGTAGCATGACGGATTACTTTCAGCAGCTAAGCGTGGGTGCCGTTTACCTCGGCGAGGCTTCGCTTTTAATGATTCTCTCGCACATTTAAGGGAAAGGCGTTTGTTTACAGTGGGGAGACGTGCTTTCGTTAAAGGATTCTTTAAAAACAACAAATGAAACTGGAGAAGGCACTCGGAGAATGTAAACCAGCGCCAAGGGTAGACTGTTGACACACACCCTTATCATGCGAGATCAATAAAGTCATTCTTGTTTCTTTAATCTCCAAACTTGTTCCTTCACACATCCACGGAAAGTTTTGTTTTTCCCGATCAGTCGTTCAGTTGTCAACCCCCCCCCAAAAAAACAAAAAAACAACAGACTTGCTAATGACATGAATGAGTGTGTCACTCACCAGGCCAGAGAGGGAGACAGATTCACCTCCAGCAACCAGGGTTTGAGGTTGGAGTCGATGAGCACATCGAAACCATACAGCTCTGCGGAGGGAAAACACAAACGGATCAGAGTCAGACGGGAGAAGTCGGCACAATTAGAGACCCCTCTGATCCGATCAGAGAAAATAAAGGATGAAGGGTATCGGAGTCACCAGTGTTTCCAAGGGTTTATCGCGGCCCCATTACATGTGGCACTTGGCGTCGCCACACGCGTCTTTCTGCTACTCATTACACGCATGTTATATACCCAATCACTCAAGAAAGAGACGTTAAACCACAGCTGCTACCGAGGGATCGGCTCGATTGCATTGACTAAGTACACACACGTCTCATCTGTCACGAATTTGCTTATGCAGGAGGCTTGATCAAACGCAAAGAGCGGCTGTGAGTACTTCACTACGTACAGTCGGTGATTTTCTCGTGGCAGGGAATGCTGGGAAGTCTACATACTGTCGCTGTATATTAACGAGAAGCTGGTTGAAGACGTTCAGTGTAAAGATCGTCAAATTGTCGCCGGGAAATTACGATGACGTGTTGATCTCCAACACCTTTCTAAGCATCAAATCACAGCCGTATTCACAAACATCACTACGTTCAAAGATACGGCACAGGAGAAGAAGAAAACACAGGATTTCTAACAACTCCAGAAGGAAAACTACTACCAGATGTGTCTAAAGACCCCGGAGCTGCTGCCAAGACACTAATAAATGACTAAGCCTAAACCAAAAGGACATTGTTTGGTCAGAAGAGACACAACTAGAACTCTTACAACTCACATACACACTCGTTCCTGGCAACAAGATGGAGAGTCTTGTCACTCAAAGAACACTTTACCCACGGTGAAACATGGAGGTGTGTCAATGCTGATGTTGAGGAGTGTGGCCACAGCATGATACGGTGGTGAGGACCGTGAAGGGCCTAGAGGAAGTGGATCATAGGCTCGAGTCCCAGTTGTATCTGATGGCTTTTCTTTGTTCTGAGTTTTGTTCTACAGCTACTGCAGTTTTCATCTTTCTTAACCACAGTCAATATCTGTGGGCTTCACAGATATACAAACAGGAGGGGGTAGACTCTGAATGACCACCATTTATCTCTCTGGAATTTGCTAACCCAGGAGCTGGGACCAAGGACAGGGAGCGATGACTGCCTGGTAGTGGCCAGTTGGTATAATAATAGAAAAAAGGTTGGGAAACGCTGATCTAAACCAACGACACATTGAGAATTTGAGAAACGACAGACGTAGCAGAGTTCGGTCCGTACCACGAGACCCTCACATCTGGGCTCGGGTTAAGACAGGGGCCACATACAGCCTGATTAGTCGAGTGGGCCGCACCAGTACAATAATACATCATAATTACCTATTATTAACAATAAGTCCATGCCCCCACCCACCCTTGTTTTCCTGCAAATAAGTAGGTACAGTGGTGCCTCGTCTATTACAAGGGTTAAGTTCAGAGACCGTTTTTATATTATTTACATATATTAACCCTTTACGAACCCTTTAGGAGGCATCGTAGGGCGTGAAATACAGCAAAAAAATTCACAAATCTTGTTTACCTGTACATACAGGTTCATTCTTGCAATACCCTGTATGTATGTTACAAAAATTATTTTTTTTACTTTTTTAACTGTTTTTTTCTTCTTAAGCTAGAAAATGCTAATTTTATCACAAATATAATGAAAATATTTGAAATTTTAAAAAAGTTATACACAAAAATCCGTGAAAGAGCAAAAAAAAAATCAACAATACAAGAATAAATTTAAAATATTAAAAACCTTCGATGCACTGACAACGATACGGTGGAGGTACAGTGAGGGACGACTTTACAATTATATTAGAAAATATTCAAATTTAATGAAATATAATTTGACAAAAATCACAAACACGTGTTCGTGCATTTTTTTCAATTTTAAAATTCATCAAGCGAGCAGAATTTGATCCCCTTGCGAGGCGGTTTTGGCCCACAGGCCATATGTTTGACACCCCTGGGCCAGGATGTTCCTAAAAAAAAAAAAAAAAAGTTTGGTCTTTGGTTTTGGGCAGTGATTCTGTCTCCGTAATGAAAAGCAAAAACAATGTAAAGCTTCCATGTTCAAAAACAGTTTCTGTTCATCAAAGTCCTCGTAAAATACTCTATAAATAAACTAATTGCCTCAGTAGATGGTGTTCCCTCCCACAACTGTTTTATGTCTCAGTGTACTCTACTGTAATACTTCATTGTGCCCTGAGAATGCCCCCAGAACGTGACTCTGGGGAGTGTCAGCCAGCGACCCTCTGGAGAAGGGGAAAACCCTGCAAGGGAGCGTTCAAAGGAACAGTGGGGGGGGGGGGGTGGGGGGTAGAGTGGGGGGGCTTGGGAGTTTCAAAGCTGCCTCACCACAATTGTTTGTACTAGCATCCCAGGTCAATGCCAGTGTTAAGCACACATAAGCCAACCTGACAGCACACAATGGCTCCACGTAGCACCGCGGTGGCGACCTGACGTGGTACACGACTTAAACCAACGACTGTGGGACAATGTGTTGACCAATCAATCAAAACTGTGGTCTGTGTAAATATAATAATATAATAGTTTGGATTGACTGTCTTTACATTGATCTGTTTTCCTCTAAATGTGATTTTAAATTACAAATTCATGATCGAGTTCTTCTTCAGAAAATATAAACCTGGTGACGGGGAGGGGGGGTGAGGGGGGGCACAATGAGGTGCCAGTGAGGGACTTTCAATGGAATATGACACGTTGGACATCAGTGTAACCACTGCTGTAATGCTAGATTGATAACAAGCCTCCAGTCACTAGGTGGCAGCAACTCATACAGTGGTTTGTACAGATAAAAATATACATGTTATCAGGTTCTCAGTAGTATTTCAATCTGTGGGGGTGTGGGTCAGGGGGTGGGGCGTGAAAAACTAGCGCTTGATCATTTATTTTTACAATTAACTAATAATAGAGTGAAATTTGTTGTTAACTAAACACAGCCTTAGACGTACTGTCACCGTTAGCTTACCTTTGCTAATATTTTTCGCAGCTGGCTAAGTTGCGAAATTATTGCCAAATAAGTGTTTTATGTGGATTAGCTTTTTGGCAGATTTTTAGCTGTGGTTAAATTACATGTCTTTAATAATATCTTTTGCAAAAATGTAAGCATTAGCATTTGGCTAGCTTAGGGATATGCTGGCCTTTTTACCAATTTCAACAGGAAAAAGCTTTTGTGGGTGTGGTCTTTAATAATATCTTTTGCAAAAATGTAAGCATTAGCATTTGGCTAGCTTAGGGATATGCTGGCCTTTTTACCAATTTCAACAGGAAAAAACTTTTGTGGGTGTGGGTTCGTGAAATTCATATGACGTTGTAGAGTATTCAAAGGCTAGGTACTGCATGATATAAGTAAAGTAATGAGTAATTTAGGGTAACTTTACAGACAACTAAACTAGACCTCTTAATATGATTACATTAACCCTAAAAATACTGCATATTTTTAATTCATAGTATTAATAAACCATTACTATAAAAAAGCTGTTTCATTTTGTTTGTTGTAGGTAATGTTAAAACATGATACAAAAATAATAATCTGCTTTACTACTATAAAACATGATACAAAAATAATAATCTGTTTTACTAATAGAATTCCCAGTATCTTTAAACAAACAAACAAAAAAAAAAAACAGCTGATATTTAAACCTTACACATCTGCAAACATAGACTCATTTTTGCCTTGAAGGATCGGGGGTTTATTATCAGGGATTTCAACAGGGAACCTCAGAACGTTTGTCCCGGGTTAGAACCTGCAACACAAACAGCCTGTCATATTTAATTTAATTTATAAGGGAGGGTTGGGCTGTGTCTGTTCCACATGTATTAAAGTTACATCCACTTCTATATAAAAACACACACACACACACACACACACCACGGAGTCTGTGCCATAAAACATTGTGTATCAGACGTGGGTAACACTGCAGTAGAAGACGTGGCCCGGAGCCTGCAGCGCCTCACCAGTGGCACCACAACAACATGGGAAAATGTGGAGGGAGGTGTCACAGCAGCTCACCAAACCCCCGACATGCAGTCTCCATGAGCCGAGCATTTTCCCTCCAATTAGCAGCAGACGCCGCTGCGGCCCCACAAACACGCAGAGCCACTCGCCGCTAGACAAGTTTGTTCTGCGGCTCGACCGCTGCCGGGCGGGGGGGCGCTGTTAAAAGTGACCACAGAGAGACCACAACAAGCCTCACAGACAAGCAGAGGGGAGACGGCGAGCATCCACATCACAGCCATTAAAGAGGGAGGGGGAGAAACAGTGACGGAGAACAGGGATGATGAAGAAGAAGAAGAAAAAAAAAAAAGAAGAAATCATTGGATGGGCGCTGCTGAAAACAACACCACAAGAGACAAATACGCCCAAAAACAATCATCTCCCCACCCTGGCCGTGCAGCCTGTTGGCCCGTGAGAGCGAGACGAGAGCAGCGTGGAGCGCTCCCTTCATGTGTGTTTTCTCCTTAGACAATTGAATTAGTCTTGCATCACTCGGAGATAAATGATTTCTGCTGATCTGTTTCTCAGCTGTTCAGGGAGTGCACTGGCACAATCAAGACAATCTCTGTGAGGGGATGAGAAATTAAACCAACACAGTGAACAATCTAAACTTGCGGACCCTGAGAACATGCAAAAAAAAAAAAAAAAAAAAAAAAAACGCACGCGTGGGCGAATCTGATAAATGTAAAACAGGGAGAGGAGGTTCATAGACAGGGGATCCAACCACACTCAGCACTTAATGAGGGACATTGAGTGGAACACAGGACCAGTAAGTGGAATGTTTTGTGTGTAATAAAATAGGCCCTTGGCTCGGCCAATCAGATCTCAGTCAAAACATCTTGTAATCAGCATCCCTCAGCAGAAAAGACTGTCCATTAATCACACAGCGGCGGTGAGAAGCTGCATGGGTGGCATTTTCTCCACACACACAGCTGTAAGGACACTGTGAAGCATCAAGTATTCCCTAGAACAGGGGGTGTCAAACATACGGTACGCGGGCCAAAACCGGACCGCTAGGGAGTTAATTCCGGCCCGCTTGTTACATTTTGAAACCAGAAAAGAAAAAGCACTGACACCTCATGTTCACGATGTTTTCTAAACTTATATTTTGTTAAATATGTAGATTTTTAAATATTCTTGTACTTGCTAGCATTAAAAAAGGGGTAGAAACATTGGCTTATTATTATTTATAGGTACTTACACTACACATCGAATTAGGACTTAATGCAGTGATAAAACCAGTTAGTTACAGGTTAATATACACAGAGGAAAAAACTCCATTTGGAAAACAATAAACAACGTATTAAAGCCATTAATACACGTTAAAATGGCAGTAAATTAAGATTATAATGTGCTTTACGGTGCTGCGCCGTGTAAGTCCGTGTAAAACCTTTGAACAATGGTGGCTTTTATCAGCCTGTTCAACACACATGCATTCACACTTTACTGAACACACAGCTGTTCAGGCCTGTGATGTAAAAAAACAAGGTACAACAAGCCTTAACTTCCCCAAGCTAACAACTTTAAGAAGGATAAAGCTGCGTGACGTGATGAGGACAATCAGGAAAAAGAAAATCTGAATATTTGTTTAAAATTGTTTTTGTTGCGGGAAATTGACAAATTTTTAATTGGTCTGAATTTTTTTTAACCTCAAACACATCACCTTGGTTCATATTTGCAACAGTGTCAAGTAGAATAATTACAGTAAATAGTCGTCCACTAGGTGGCTAACAATGAGAGATTCCAAACTCCAAAGAACATCTTTGTGTCTTTCTTTAATTCCTGTGAATGTCAGCATTTAGTTCAACTAAACAGGTCAAATGTTCACAGTGAGTAGAGAAATTGTGAGTAAATAGAAACCAAAAATGGTTGGGGTTTTTTGGGGACTTTTTGACCTTTAGGTCAAACTCTTCTGATGTTTTTATGCACCAGATCAAACCTGGGCAAACTACGGCCCGTAGGCCAGTTACGGCCCACTGGGCTTCATCATCTGGGCAGACAAACAGTGGTACAAGGTCAGGGGGCTCTTACTGTTTTTTTATTTTCTCTCGCTCTCTCTTTCCTCGCTGTGGTCATAATTAAAGCGACTCCTTCGCAGGATATCTGTGGTCTATTCTCCATCCCTCACGAACAGCAAAGACAAATCAAAATACCGCCGGTTATGCACAGACAAGTAAAAACCCACAGACACACTCGTGTGGACTCCTCGAAGGTGTGAACTTGTGTGTGTGTGTGTGTGTGTGTGTGTGTGTGTGTGTGAAGCCCTTGCGTTACACTGGTTCCTACATGTTCTCTGTGTCCCTGTTACCCAGTCCGTGCTCAGGCAACATGATCACACAGTGACAGAGTGGGTGAGGGTGGTTCTGTGCAAGTGTCAGGAACTAACTGGAGAAACCTAACCCTTTACACACACACACACACACACACACACACACACACACACACACACACACACACACACACACACACATACACACACACACACACTGTAACTGCTGTATTGAACGTGCTCTGGGCGTCTGAAGACAAAGAGATGACACTGAACTCAACAGCAAACTGATACGACTGTCACTCTGTAGCAATGATAATGATGATGTGGACCATACAGTCGATCAACGTGCAGTAAATGTGACAAACACTGTATGTTGACCATCACCAACTGGCGGCCCACGGTCCAGAACCGGCCCGCAAAAGGAACTAATCCAGCCCAATTACAAGATTGTGATGATCAAAGAGAAACTATCATGTGGTCCCCAACTGTTAAACTGGAAAAAAAAAAAAAAAAAAAAGAGGCCTTAATAACACTCAGTAATCCCCACCATTAATGACTCAATTTGAAAAAAAAAAAAGAAAATTCATTTTACGAAAGTGTCTGGAGCCTCAAGGTGCCAAAAACAAATCTGGTCCTCCAACAAACGTAGTTGGAGAGTCCTACTGTATCTGAACACATGAGTGGACAGTGTTCAGTTATTGGACAGATTGTTAAATATTTTTTTAACTGAACTTCGATCCTGTTATAGGATTAAAGCCATTGGAAATGAACCACCACTGTAATCGTACACTGCTGGAGAAAAACCGAAAACCAGCTGCCTTGGTGTGTGGTATTTTTTTGAAATGCAGGGAAAAAAAAATCTGAATTATTTCATTTTAGCAAATAATCCTAATTTCATGACAAATGTAGGGGGAAAAAATCCTCAATGTTTGGTAAAAAGAAATTCTGATTCAGCTTTTCTGTATTGTTATTGACCATTATCGTATAATGTTTTCATATTCACTGTTGCTGCTCCAGGAGTTGATGAATCCCACCCTAATATTAAAGACCCTAAACAGCAGAGGAGGGATTGTAAATGATGACTAAGCATCAGATAAACAACAGATATTGATTGACAGCTTCACAGTCCAATGACCGCAGAGTTTGGGAACAATCACTATCGCTTTACATCAGTGATTCATTTCGCTAACGTGTCACGACATGCTAAAGGCTAAACCGTTAAAAACACGGTGTTTGTCGATCTGAGTGAGGGACCCAGACACACTCACACATTCATGTGGCTCTCCACTCCCCCCTCGACCCCCCCCCCCCTCCCCCACCGCTGTTACACCACAGATATTTCAGCTGGCTGCATGTTCACATCCCTGCGGAGCTGTGAGACCCAGGTTGAGCCACAGTTCCCTGTAAATACCAGCAGGTCAACACTCCAACCCTGTGTTCATGTGGTTTGTCAACGTAACACTGATGCTCAATTACAGATAGCATCTCTCAACAGGAGGAAGCCTGAGGGGGGGGGGGGTCCATGTGCCGCC